AGCATACCACATCTTCTTATTTTTTATATATTTTCAACTGATTAATCTATCTAACAAACATAAAAAAATTCAATTCTGTTAACTTCTTTTCTTTTCGATGGACATTTTCACCAATAATGTTTTTTTAAGGTCAAAGTGATAAGTCTAATTATTTTATCATTTTTATAAAATCTTGAACACTATTTTTCTCTGGCATACAAGTATAACGTCTCAATACATATTACGTTTTTAGCAATACATCGACTGGTGTAGAAATATATGGTTACCTTAACTTGTAGTGGGAAAAACCTGGCTAAAACGGGCTTCCTGTCAGATTGTGGACGCTAACTCCAACGCATCTTGTACAGACAAAGCGATAGTGAGTCATGTTCTCTGCACGAATAAGATCCATTGCAACAATTTTGTGAGGGGTCTGTTGGTGGCTGTTGCAAGGCATAATTTCGAACCAATATCCAATATACCCTCATTTTCCTAATTTCATAGAAATTGATCCAATATCCACCCATTTAGGTGCGAATCATATCTCTGGCCTATATTCGGCCTACATTTCAGAATCTACCTATTGTAAAAAGATTAAAAAAATAATAATAAAATTTAAATTATATACTCACCATGCTCACATCACGACATAACATTTAATTAAGATATTTTTCATTATTTGTATTATTAGTTTTTGTTAACAATGAGACAGAATAATAGCATGCAAATTTTTTAGTAATAATGTAATTACTTTCTGTCAACCTGCAATTCCGAATAAACCGACAAACTGTATACACTGGTCTTGTTTAAACGTGAAACACAATTTCGAATTGCTTCACAAACTATTTTTATGTTAATTTTAATTTGACGATTTAAATAATTATCAGGTACCTGATCATTATTCTAAAATCGGTCAGAGTATTAAAATGTCATTCATTGAAGTCGAATAAATAAAATGTTAAAAAATGACACAAAAGATATATTTAATCTATCGAGTCTTTAAAAAGAAATCAAATATTTGAAACGGGGATAATAATTTTGTCCCTTATGTGTATATTCTAACGATTCTTTTCTAAATCGACTGTTGATCAAGAAATTTTTGTTTTAATAGTTCAACACCAGCGGCTTTTGTTTAAACATTGTGTACATATCTACGAGTATATTTAAATGAACAGTATCTATTATCTAAATTTACTGACAAAGAAGAGGAAAGAATTGCTTTTACTAATTAAACAGTAATGGTCTGATAATGACAAGTTTGCCGCATTGTATGATAGACGCAACTTATTAAATTCAGAAGTGAACGAACTATCTTGAAGCATAAAATGTAGTCTTTAAAAAGGGAAAATGCATATGCTTACGAAAAAGGGTTGATTAATAATACATCAAGAACCTTTTAAGAACCTTTTGGAATGATTGGTCCTCAATGCTCTTTAACTTCATAGTTTATTTGGCCTTTTTAACTTTTTTTATTTTAGTGTCACTGATGAGTTTTTTTGTACACGAAACGCGCTTTTGGCGTACACAATTTTATTTCTGGTATCTATAATGAGATTATTTGTCAAAAAAAAACAAATGGTATTTAAAGTAAAATGTTATCGCCTGTTGAAATAGTGGTTAATGCAAAAAAGAAAACTTAAGATAAGTTAAACAAAGGACAGTGATTTTGATTCTTTGTAACACCATTTGTTCTATTGCCTTGTTTTCCATGTTAAATAATGCCGGAGGGAACATTGCTTTCTTTTTATCAACATCAGGAAATGAAGAAACAATTTAAAAACCAAAAGATTGAATAAGAGACGGGAATATTTATTCGTCTTTACAAGACATACGATATATGATCCTATAAGTTTTAACTAGTTCGGATTCATGAGAAATAAAGGCAACAGTGGTATACCGCTGTTCAATAGTCATAAATCGATTCAGCGAAAACAAATCCGGGTTACAAACTTAAACCGAAGAAAACACACGAGGGGCTAGTGATACAATGTTCTACTACTTAGACCAGTCTAGACGTGACTCTTGGTTCATGTAAGTCTTTAGATTGTTTAATGTTTCAAATTCTGGTCGTCTTTGATCTATTTCATGAGTGCTGTTTGTTTTGTTAAAATGATAAATATATATACTAGCAGAATTATTATTATAATTCCATCACGTATACTTATAAAATGTTGTATAACTGTGAGGATTATAGATCATATGGTCATTTTTTTCAATATTCATACTCTGTCCACTTTAAGCGTTTGAGGACGCATTCATTCGAGCATCCAAAGTGTGATTGAAATACCCAAAACCCGTCGCCGTCCTTTGATCAAATTAATAAATTTTAACAAAGACGAAAAACACTGCAAATGACAAAGTTCTATTCCCAGTGCAACTCATAATAAATATCCGTACATGTGATTACTTTATAAGAGTTTTATGCATTATAAGTGATAAATATATATTAAATATGTCATAAGCTCGTCTGAAAATTGTACCTAGAACATTTTAATTTTATAGTTCTATCATGTTTTCTCTCAAAATTCATAGTTAAGGCAACAGTCCTGTTAGTTTGTTTTTGTTTTTGTTTTTGTTTTTATTTCCTCAAGGATCGTGTCCTCAATAAAAGAAACTAGTTATTTTCATTCAACTTCGATTTTTGATGTGTAACTTTTATTATTCATTAAATGTGTTAAGTGTAAGGACTGATGTGGTAACAACCAATCTTTATTTTCTATATGGAGGATGTTAAAAATATATCCAGGTCTCCCTCAATATATACTTACAAAATGATCGAAACAGCCAGTTCGTTGATAGCGGATATGTTCCTAATGTCGTTACTACAATCCCGTCCCCTTTTCCCGAATGTGACCTACCGAATTAGACTTATTACCGGGTTTGTACTAACATGAGAAACACGACGGGTGCCACAAGTGAAGCAGGATTTGCTTACCCTTCCGGAGCACCTGAGATCATCCCCAGTTTTTAGTGGGGTTCGTGTTGCTCAGTCTTTAGTTTTGTGAGTTGTGTTTTGTGTGCTGTTTTTTGCCTGTTGGAATTTTTCTTTTTTTATTTTTTGGCCATAACGTTGTCAGTTTATTTTCGACTTGAGTTTGAATGTTCCTCTGGTATCTTTCGGCTCTCGTTTTCGTTCCTTTGTCAAATTTAGTTAAACAAGAGAAATTAAGGAAAAAGTAATGTTTTTAGTAATGAATATATTATTCATTTGCTATAGGCTTTTTTTGTCAAAAGCTGTCAATATTTGGCAGTGTAGAATTTATTCTTTCACAAAGCTAAAGTTATGAAGTTAAAGAATTCACAAACCAATAATTCTTTTTATTGACATGTATGTGAATAACAAATTTGTTTGTACTTTATTTTTCAATCAAGTTACCAGTAAAATCACGTTCACAAAACATGCCGTGTTATCATTTTCATGTACTTGCAAATTAAATGATTACACACAATTAAATTTAGTTTAAATTTGATTTCTTCTTTACAAAAAAAAAATAAACAACATTATGTCATAGCACAATATATCTTATTCATAACACTTTTAACAAACCCCTGAATATTTCAAACCAGTTTTAAAGCTCAATTGTTTTGAAAGACATGTTTCTTGATCAGGTAACATGTTACATAGTTTATAGGTGTGTATACATTTATTTTTTAATATTAATCAGGCATATCTAAAAATTGCACATAGTGCACGTCAATTCTATAGTACTGTCATATATCATCACAGTTATCGTAATTGAATTTTGAGCAAGAAATAGAAAGAGAAATAAAGTAGAAATTTATAATTAAGGCAACTGTCCTGCTTGTTGTTCTTTTTTCTTTACTTCCTTCAGGTTGTTCACCAATCAATCAATCATTTTCTTTTCTATTGGAAATAAAGAGGGGATATAATTCATATTATACATTACTTAAGTAAACGTAGTGTAAGCAAATTTAGGTTTCAACTTAAACTGGCACAATTGACTTAGTAAAGGTGAAAGTAGAAACTCATTGCAAATCCCTTTGGGTCATCTAGATCTTGACGTATTCCGGTATCTATGCTTTCCTTGGTTCTAGATTTGGGGTTTAAGATTTCTTGATGAATGTTAAATTGGCCTTTAATAGATAATAACATAACTATTTTACACAGAGAATGTAACTGTGTGACATTATCGGTATAAATAGTTAATTTAAAAGAAGAATACATTTTTATTGTGATGAATTCCGATAGTCTCAAATGTGAAACAAGTCGTTTTTGTTATTTTTCAAGACTTTCATTGCCATTTTCCGGATCCAAACGTAAGACGTCAGTTTGAAAATTTGAGTCTTGACATTTAAAACTTATTTATTGTCTCAGTGTGTCACATTTCTACAATTAATTATCCAGATTCATTTAAAACAACTTCGTGCATTTTATCATCAAAATCATAACAGTACAGTGATATCAACAATTTCCAAAGTCGGCCCAACTATCGCCAGTAACGTAGAAAGGAGTTCTGATAATTGTTTTTTTTTTTTTTCTATATAATAAAAGATAAAACTATTTGCCGTTTTTTAATATGAAAAATAAGACCAATTGTCAAAGAACGCCGCTACGGATTAAAGTCATGGTGTTCACTTGTTTAAATTATTTGTCGTTCGGTCAGGACTTATTTTCGACAATTATTTATATATTACTATTACTTTTCTGCGTCATACTGTGCTATTATATATGTTTTAGGCAGTGAATATATATGGTACATTTGCTATAAGGCTTTATCTTTGTAAAAAGTTGTCAATGTTAGGCACGAATTTTTTTTCTTTCACAAAGTGCTTGGTGAATTTTTAAGACTTTATAAACGAGTTACCTCAACAAATTCAAATGTGTTACAGTACCAAACTTGTTCGTACTTCCCATCAAGTTGCAATTAAAATTCCGTTCACAAAAATCGCCTTGTCAGTATTCTAATTTATTAACAATTTAAAATGTCTTGCATAAACAAGTCATTTGAAAATTTCATTTTAAAACTACTTCTTTACAAAATCATTCTTTCATTGCACGATGTACCCCAATTATAAGACATTTAACTTCACAAATTCTATATATCTAAATACGCTGATTTGAATTGTTGGGTTTTGCAGAAACGAGCTCCTGATTCAGGTAAGACTTTACGTAATTTATATTTTTCAAATATTTCTCTTATTTGATTCATTTTACAATTTTTATTCTTTTAAATAGTAATCAAAGACAATTGATGAATTTTCATAATGATTCAATCACATAGTATACAAAAACCATAACTGTTATAAAATTCATTAACTAGTGGTACAATGTGAGTCACATAATATCACAAGAGCAGAACAAATCAACATAAACGAGATAGAGAAGTAACAATTATAAATCATTAATCAAACAACTGAAGATTGAGCATACTGAATAAACTCATCATACCAGGAATGTATGTATGGCAAACGCGTTTTGCTACAAAAGGCGCAACAGTGACGCTTTGATCAAAACTAAAAAAAGCAAACTAGATTGCACAGTTTAAGAGCTTTCTGAAATTTTGCCCCGTTCCACCAAATTAATGTTTGCGTAAACCAAAGTGATTCTAAAGGATCATTTGTTCTTACCGTACTAGTAACACGTGAACTTGAATTTAAAGTAAAGATATAGGTTAGTAAGTATATGCCTAAAAATAAAAAATCCATGCGTTAATTATTTTAGATGAAACAAAAAAAAATGCTTTAGAAAAGTAAATTCCAGAACATTCATTAACGTTATTTTTTCCGTTATCGTAAACAAATGCAAAATCAAATGACAAGTAGTCGTACATGTCTATATAAACAATTTAACGTTTTATATGTTTTGAAAATAAATGTATTTTTTTATTTGTTTTCTTTTTTTGTAAGGAAAAGTTTTTTTTTTCTCAAATGTATTTAGATTTCAATGGCCAACAAATAAAGTGCATAATTTATGTAATCTCTCAAGGTGTGTAGGTCCAAATCATTCCGAAATGCAAACATTAGAAAACAATTGCTTTGAACAAATATGTTAGAATAACAAATATGTTTGTCCCATAAAGTAGCAAGTAAAATCTTGTTCACAAAAATCGCCTTGTTAATATTCGTATAAATCAAAAACTTAAGCGGTCTTGGATAATGCATTTCATTTGATATTTTCTTTTTAAAATATCTTCTTTACAAAATTATTCTTTCATTACACGACGTACCCCAATTATAAGATATTTAATATAACAAACACTAAATATCTAAATACGTCGATTTAAAATTGTTGGTTTTTGCAGAAATGAGCTCTTGACTCAGGTAGGACTTTAAATGATTTATAGATTTCAAATATTTGTCTTGTTGAACTATTTTACAATTTTTATTTTTTTAAGGTTGATCATTGATATATATTTCCTCAGATCGAATGGTCTTATACTAAAAAAAAAAAAGATTTTACCATGCTTTTTATTAAAAAATACAATAAAAAGTATGGGTCACCGTGATATATTTAAAGCTACAAGTCGTGAAAAATTGCCTAAATATGCATACATTTTTCCATGAAAAACACATTTATGTGAATAAATAAAGATTTAACCACTGCATCGAGTGTTATAGGTTATTTATCCACTCGAGACGGTTAAATTCAAATTTAAAACGCGAGGCTCACCGAGAGTTTTAAATATTTAAAATGTAACTGTCGAGAGTGGATAAATACCGTATTGGACGATATTTTGTGGTGGAATCTGTTTCTCTAATAATTTTTAGACGATATGCAGACAACAAATCATTATCCTTCTCTGGAATGATCCGGAAAAAGATATGTTCTTTCTATGTGACGATATCAGGTATGGTCGCCGTTTTTCATGACGTCACAATAAGAATTTCAGAGGAAATGAAGAAAATTTGACGTCATAATCGAATTTTGACCAATGAAGACCTGAGGTCAAACGAGCCGCTCGTTTAAAATAATAGAAATAGGTTTACAAAATGGTATTGTGTAAAGTTAAATTTCATAGATTTAAGGGCATATGTGGAATATGCTTTTAAATCTTTGAAATTTAACTTTTTAAGATAAAATGTTGTTTGATGATATAATGTCAAAAAATTTCTTACAAATTCCAAATAAACAAGCTCAAACGGATACGATGTTTTTATGACGTCATAAACGTGACCATGATGAAGAAAACGTATTCTCAATAATAGTTGACTAAATTTGGATATACTTTGTTTTAAATGTCACTGCCTACAAACAAGGACCACCAACATTGTTGTTTTGATGTGCATCTGACCTATATACATATGTTTGGTTTGAAATCAATTGATGCCAACTAACCTTCATCTTGGTCTCGACCTAAAAATAAAATGCGTATCGACAAAGTTTCACTTTTGCCTCAAAAACGCGTTTCAAAAGTTTGACAGTTTTATAATTTCTTCGTCTATGTATTGAAATCTAAAAATTAGTTCTTAAAATCAAACAGACCAAAATCAAACCATAATGCATAAAAAAAATTCTTGAAGAAATGTTTCTGACGTTTTGCAAGTCGCAGTGTTGACAGTGTACATTAAACTTAACTCTGTGTCAAAGTTTGAATATATAATCAACGGAATTTCTGAATTATCTTCTGAATAAAATACATTCACTTTTCTTGACATGAAATAATATGACTAATATAACACGACTTTATTATAGATCTTCATTCCGAATGATTTTTAGAGGCAATCATGCATCAAACTCTTAGTCCAGATAACAGTTTTCTTTTTAGTGCATCATTTACAAACTGCTTGATATTCGATCTTCAATGTAGTGTATTGTTGAGGTTCATTTAAAAAGGAAACATTATCCACTGATATTGTGAGTGACGGTTATGTTTACCATTGAAGTGATTTGATACAATAACCGTTTAACACGCAGGTATTAATGTGTCTTAAGTGCGTCGTACAGTTAGGTCTTGTAAACCTATTCACGGGTACACATCCCCAAATTTTTCTGCAATTTAAATCAAATTTTCATATCAGCAATATCATTGAAGACATCAAAATTTCAACAGCGCTGATTAATTATTTTTTCAGATAAAATGTGTCTTGGGAATATAAATTGTAAACAAATTTTTAGTGAACCCTTTACTCGGATTTAACTATATTGTCTGAGATCTTGATTACCTTCAATAAACCTGCAAATATACAATTTACCTGAAAATTCGTTCGTATGTTGGATAGTTTGATGAGTGTGTTTTACCCAGTGCTTATTATCTCTAACATAATACACATAACACACGGTTTCATTTAATTTAAAGATCGAAAGGTTCATAACATGTAATTATTAAAATCCTATTCACAAAAATGTCAAAACTCCTTGTGAACTATTATTTTTAAAGATTTCTTTACAAAACCGATTCGTTCAATTTAGAAATAAGAAAATTTAAGCAAAAAAAAAAACATTCTTAAACAATTTTTCCTTTAAAAATGCTTACAATACAATGCTTATATATTTGCTTCAACTCATTTAAAGCCTTCTTCTATAATGAGAAAGGTAAATATGCTAGATATACTTACTGGAGGTGTGATGAGATGGTTGAAGCTGTTAATTTTCTCCTTGATAATATTTATGTACGTTTCGGCAGCAAAGTTTATCGACAGGTTGTAGGTATTCCTATGAGCACTAATTGCGCCCCTTTAATAGCAGACTTGTTTTTGTACTGTTATGAATCACAGTTTATGACCAAACTCAGTAAAGACCCGTCTAAAATGCATTTAATTGAGAAATTCAACAACACTTACCGTTATCTTGATGATATTTTTTCGTTAAATAATCAAGAATTTTCTCAATATACTGCCGAAATTTACCCAAAGGAACTTACTTTAAATAAATCAAATTTAAACGATAACAACTGCCTTTTTTAGATTTAGATATTTCGGTTTTACATGGGAAACTCCAAGCTAAAATTTACGACAAAAGGGACGATTTTTTGTTCCCTATTGTTAATTTTCCCTTTTTGGATGGTGATGTTCCTTTGGCACCATCTTACGGTGTTTATATTTCACAACTCGTTCGCTATGCCCGTATCTGTTTTGACGTTTTTGATTTTAACGAACGTAATCTATGTATTACTGGTAAATTATTAAGCCAGGGATTTCGTTACCACAAATTACTTAAAACCTTTACTAAATTCTTCCACAGATATCTAGATCTGGTTTTGAAGTTTTGTTGTACCTGTAGAAAACTTATTTCAAACGGGATTGCACATCCTCATTTTTACGGCAATATTGTTTACCGTGCCCGGTAATTTAGAAACGATCCTGGTAAACCTATCGATCCTTTAATTACACTTATTCTAAAAGGTTACCAATTCAACACTGTATAAATTAAAAGCAAACTAAATATGATTGTTATATACATATACACATTCATGGATCCACAATCTGTCGATACCTGTATCTTGGCATTGCACAAGGTCATGTTTTTCTCTGACTGTTTATGACGTCTTTACATAAAATCCATTGGATGTTGGATGTGTACGGATTGATAATTAAGTCTTAGATGCATGATTTTTTTTTATTAGTTGTTAGTGGCTTAGAACTAGCTGTCAATAACTGCGAGTACTCTCAGATCTGTACTAAGTGTCTTTTTGTTGTTTAGATGTACAAGTACCCAGCCACGTCCACTTGTATTTGAAGTATTTGTATTTTTATCCATCTGATGAGTTAAGCCTCTTTCAACTGATTTTTATAGTTCGTTCTTATGTTGTACTGTTACATCACTGTCCCAGGTTAGGGGGAAGGTTGGGATCTCGCTAACATGTTTAACCCTGCCACATTATTTATGTATGTGCCTGTCCCAAGTAAGGAGCATGCAATTCAGTGGTTGTCGTTTGTTTATGTGTTACATATTTGTTTTTCGTTCATTTTTTGTACAAAAATTAGGCCGTTAGTTTTCTCGTTTGAATTGTTTTACATTGTCATTTCGGGGCCTTTTGTAACTGACTGTGCGGTATGGGCTTTGCTCATTGTTGAAGGCCGTACGGTGACCTATAGTTGTGAATTTCTGTGTCATTTGGTCTCTTGTCGAGAGCTGTCTCATTGGCAATCATACCACATCTTCTTTTTTTATATTTATAAAATAATCAATATTTGACAATTGATTTCGTTTTATGCATA